CCCTGAGCCGGTGAGATTTGAACCGCTGAACTGCTGATCTAGCAGTCAGCCTGCAGTGCTGCATTTAACCACTGCGCCACCTCCGCCACTCATTCCCCTGGAATGAGGCAGGAATGCAGTATTTTGCAGTATCCTTTCCCTGGAGTGGGGAGGGAATGGAGATTTTACAGTATCCTTCCTGATGCATTCCTGACTGATGCAGCTCTTTCAGCTGGAACCCCTGAAGCTGCAGCCCCTTCTTTAGCTGGAGCTGTCTCGCCCACCTTGCCTCACCTCACCCTGTGGGATGAACCTCCCGCCCACCGCCCTACCTACCTGAGACCCCTGGGTTCGCTTCCCAACCCCACCCAGCCCCTACTGGCAACATCCACACAAGCGACATCAAGTGGGCCATGCCCCCTGGCCACGCCTAGTTGGATGTGACCACACCAGCCACACCTCTTTCCCCAGCCATATCCTCCCCTGGCCCTTGGAGGAAAACCATAATGCTGATCCGGGCCTCAATGAAATTGAGGTTGACACCCCAGACTTAGGGCTTCAGCTGAATGTGCTCCTGAGTCCCCTTTCTAGAAGTGTGTCTGTAATGTTTTCACACCCTGAAGGAAATCTGCATCTCACTTTTGGGACTATCCTGTTTCCTTATCAGTTGTAATTCCTTCCTTCTTTATCTTTCTTTCTTTCTTTCTTTCTTTCTTTCTTTCTTTCTTTCTTTCTTTCTTTCTTTCTTTCTTTCTTCTGTCATTCTTTTCTAAATTGGCACCTGCTATTAGTGTGTGTGCATGCTCAAACTGCCTGTGATGACCCTGGGCACAACACAGCCAGAACAAAGGCTTAACTCTCCTTTATTGTTCCAATTTTTCCCCAAAGGTTCTACGATTAACCAGAGCATGGCAAACAAGTCAAGCACAACAAAGTATCCAGACATCAGTAACAGCATGTGAGACTGGATAAAGCAACGCTTGTTCCCGACAAACACCCCTCCCAACAGCATCTCTTTAAATCTCATTCCCCAGGTGAACCTTTTGACAACTTCTCCTGAGTTGTCGAGTTGCCCTGCACTGATCCTGCCTCATCTCCATTCTCGGGGATCGGGGGGGGGGGGCAGTAATTGCTTGTCACTCACTCCTCCTTTGCTCTCTCCAACTGGTTTCTCACAACCTGGTGTAGTATGCGCAGCTTATGGAGAAATTTGTCCACTGCCAGTACTGGGAAATTCAATGGGGCCAATGGGAAGAGCTATGAGTGGAGCCTGTGGCTTGCAAAAAAATGGGGACATTTAGGTGGATGCATGGTAACAGTTACTGTAGGCAAATTTCACCAATGGCAAGACCTCCCCCCAATTGTCTTGTTGATTGTTGAAGCACTGGAGGTACTGCTCCAAGATAGTGTTCACTCTCTCCATGCTCCCTTCATTTTTGGGATGATGGGAGGGCAACAGAAAGGCCACCAAATCCGATTCCAAGAGTGAGTAAATCCGGCCAATTGGCAGCTTAGCATCAGGCACGAGCTCGATTGAGCAATCATAGGGTCAGTGTTGAGGCAACTGATCTCCCTTCTTCTCCCCGGACACATCAGCGTACACATCAGAGTGCTGCAGTGCAACCACTCTAACCCAAGCATCAATGGGAAGTTTATGCAGCCACATAAAATGCAACTCCTCCATATGAGCCCCGATACGCATGTGAAAGAGTCGCATTGACATGACCACCAATCCCAACCACAGTGACCGACCATCAAATTACTGGCTGTTGAGGAATGGCCCAATGCATGGCAAAGTCCAAATCCATAAAGTTGGCCATGGCCCCTGAGTCTACCTTGGCTTGAACCAACCCGGCAAGGACACAAGTACTGTGAAAATGAGATGTTGCGAAGTGGTTGATCCTGAAGACTGGGGACAGACCACATCCAAAGGAGCCAGGCCTACAATGTCCTCTAGGCCAGACCCTGGTTGTTTCCTGCCACCAATCTCGCCACTGATTTGGTCGCCTTTGTGGAGCACATGGTCGCCTCATTGCAAACAAAGAAAGGCACCATTGGTCTTTCTTGGCCTGGATTAGGCATGGTCAGGCAGCCCCCAACTGCATAGTCTCTTCCAGTGGCAGTGGATGCAGTGGATGCAGCCAAGGCCTCCGTCCATCGTCACTGCTGGAGCCATGAATCAATGTGTAGGCATAAGTGCCTGAGGTTCTGAAGTGTGGAGGGTAAATCTGTGTGCACCAGCTCATCCAGCAATTCTGAGGAGAGGCCTTCCTGGAACTGATACATTAGAGCAGTCTCGTTCCATTTGAAGGTCCTTCCTGAAATGTTGCTGATTTTTCCATTCTAGGCCCCTCCCTCTTGTTTATAAGACCCAAAGTCGAGGATATGCAGTTCACCCCAGAATAGTTGTATACACATCCAAGCACCCAGACATACAAGAAAGAAGGATTAGAAACACAGAGAAGTAACATATATGAACCCATGTTTTCTCTCATACAGATTATGCACATATACTCATAGGCAACATGTATGCACCCCGATCGGTTTTTGGGATAAAGTTTGCGTGCGTGCAGCACACACACATGCACATTATTGCTTACATTCAATAGAGCATGGGCACATTCTGTGTCTACTGCGACTAAATAAAGGAGTTGGAAAGAATTTCAGATATTGGGCTCGGCACAGATTATGATGGCACACAGAAGTTTTAAGCATACAGATAGTCTACCCATCCATCAGTTTCTTGTCTTCTGGATCCCACCATATTGTTATTACAGTTTTCTCCCTTATTGACAAAATTGTCTCATTTCTTCTGAGGCAGCATTATTCTTCTGAAGGTCCTGTTCATTGCCTCTTTTAACTCTTTGCTCCTCAGGCTGTAAATCAGGGGGTTTAATACAGGTGTGATGAAAGTGTAGACGACAGACACCTCCCGAACTTGCGTGGCTGATAAGCAGGAAGCAGGGCACAGGTATATTAAACTGCTAAAGCTATACTGCATAAGGACGACCATTATATGGGAGGAACAAGTAGAGAAAGCTCTTTTACGCCCCAAGGCAGAAGGGATGCGCAGGACGGCCACTGTGATGAAGATATAGGATATGCAGATTAGTATGACAGGGACAGTCAAGTAAACAGCACTTATAATAAAAAGGCCATGTTCCTGGGCATGGGTGTCTCCACATGCCACTTTTATTAGAGCAGGAAAATCACAGACAAAATTTCTCACTGACATATTATTGCCACAGAAAGTCAAAGTCAGTATGAGGAGACTCAACTGGAAAGAAAGAAACCCGCTCATGGCCCATGTTCCAACTACAAGAATCATACATCTTCTCCAGGTCATAATGAGAGGGTAGCTTAATGGGTGGCTAATTGCCACGCATCGATCATAAGCCATGATAGCCAGCAGGATGCAATCTGAACCCCCCAGGAAGGTAAAAAAAAACATCTGGGTGCCACACCCACTCAAAGAAATGGAGATCTTTCTCACTGAACCAAGATTAGCCAAAGTTAAGGGGGCAATGCTACAGGAGTAGGCGATCTCCAGAAATGCCAGATTAGCCAAGAAAAAATACATTGGTGTATGGAGAGAGTTTACAGTGTAAATGATGAAAGCAACGGACCCATTCCCAAGTAGACTGAGCAAGTAGAGAATAAGAAAAGTCCAGAAGAGCAGCCATTTAATCTCTGGGATGGTTGTGAACGGTTGGAAATGAAATTCTGGATTCAAAGTTTGATTTTCAATCTTCATTTAAGTCCTGTAGTCTCTTAAAAGGAGAAAGAACAAAAATATATGAAAATGAAAACTTTGGAAATTAAAGTTGAACTTAAGAAATTCATCAAGAGATAATTAAACAACCCAACATCTGTATATTAGACTATTGTGTTGCCCTTAATGTTGGCTGAGAGGAAGTCATTCTTTATTAAATACTTCACCAACTATTTTTTCTGGGTCAAGATAACATGGTAAATATTTTAAAAGTGAATTTGGTCTCCAGGTATGTACGTATTGTACATCTCTCTTCTTTTATTAAGCAGCAGAACATTTTGACCAATAGCAATAGCAGTAGACTTATATACCGCTTCATAGGGCTTTCAGCCCTCTCTAAGCAGTTTACAGAGAGTCAG